AAAAAAAAAAAAAAAAAAAAAAAAAAGAAAAAGAAATGTTTTTGGATTTTTAATAAACAAAAAGCAACGAATTATGTGACGCAATCGATGCTCACCGTACAGTTTGATCTTGTCATTGTGGTTGATCAATATGATAATATATCCTCCTAGATCGACCATTTTTGCTGACTTCGGCGATGATTGCTGGTTTATTCGATTATAAGGAGAGAACGATGCTTCAGGCGAATCTTGACGCGATTAAAATCGAAGATAAGCGCAATCGCCTCATCATCATCGAAAAAATAATTCGCCGATATTAATGTTGTTATCGCATGCCATCCTTTCCATTTCCTCTTATATCTTCGCATCTCATTTTACCATTGATATCGCGATCGATATTTTTCACTAACAACACCCACATTTCCGTAAGTATAAACATTAACATTCTTTCTCTCTCTCTTTTTTTCTAATTTTTAAATTTCCATGAATCAAGATTTCAACGACGAATTTGACACAGTTTTCACTCGATTGAGAACCGAACGAATTATCGGAAACTTTGAATTTCACTAATAATTAGCTAACGCTGTTATATTTACGTACACCGATTAACAATTAAGATGACAAGAAAACTAGCAGTTCGTATTCTTTAAAAAAAAAAAGTTAACGAACACGTAACATTCTCTGACTGCTGGTCATTCCTCTTGACAATATGTTGATGTTAGTTTAAGATCTGTTACAAACTTGTGATATCACAGGAATATCTTTCTTTCTCTTTTTCTAACTCTCCAACTCTTTATGTTTTAAGTTACGAGTATGATGAATTTATGAAGAATCTTCTTTGTTTTTGATATTAATACGTTGAAACAGTTTGAGAGGAAACCCTCACTGGGGCCCCGAGTATGGGCCCCCCTACATCCTTGCAACGAAGATTTCTTCCTCGAACGATCAACGAATTCAGAATCCCTCAAGCCCTAACTTATTGATTAGAGCTTTCACTGAACACGACTCCTCGCTTGCTTCGGTCATTCTGACTGCTTGCATCCTTGAGTGTATAAGTTTTCTTGAATGACATTTGGGAATCGTAAAAATGTCTCGATTTATCGAGACCGGAATAACGCAGACTATCCTCATGCTAACTTCTTCTCACTTTCCGTCGACGGCAGATTTCAATTAAATATACATTTTCCGATAAAATTTCACTATACATAAAAGTACAAAATCGTCGTTTAAATGCAAAATTTTTACGATTTTACGATTTTCCTCTCATTTGTTGTCTATATTATCTTCATTCTATCCCTCCCTCAAAGGACACTTACGACATCTCGCTTTCACGCAGGATTAGAAATAAATTTCACG